AAGCGTGAGATCAGACCTCCACCCGTTGAGCTCAGTTCCAGGCTCTTGGTGGTGGCGCATAAGCCTGACGCTTGAAAGCTCTGCACTAAACGTGCTCTTTTTAATGAACGGCGACTTCCTTCGATTCCAGAGCCGGTAGCAGTCGAAATAACACGAATGACTCAAAACAACAGCAATGAGCATGACAAGGAGTCGCTATTGCGCGTGGCGGGGTACCGTTTCGGTGCAGAACCGAAGCAATTGAAAGAACTAACCGAATGCCCGAAGCCTGTTTGGTCTCGGCGGGTGCCGCCTGAAACTCGAGGACCCCGGTCCTGGGCTGCACGTCTGACAGTGGGGTCGTTCTCCCATGGATGCCAATGTGAAAAGAATTGCCAACCTCGAAGTCTGGAGAGCAAGAGCCCCAACCTCCAAATGCACCGAACGAAAATTCCGAGGGGCAGCAACGGTGGCCTCAGTCCAGAAGGACGGCCGGCAGGATTCACGGAGACCTGATCCAAAACCGCTGCGTGAGCGCAAACTGCTCCCGCTGCTGCTCCTGCTCCTGCTCCTACTCCTGCTCCTACTCCCACTCCTACTCCCCACTACTACTCCCCACTACTACTACTACTCCGACTGCCACTGCCACTGCCACTGCCACTGCCACTGCCACTGCCACTGCCACTGCGACTGCGACTGCGACTGCGACTGCGACTGCGACTGCGACTGGGACTGGGACTGGGACTGGGACTGGGACTGGGACGACTTCCACTGCTCCTGACATAATCCGGCCAGCTCGCCTGCTGGGGAAACGGTGCGGGCTGTGCTTGCTTCCGCACGGCCTGCACACTGCGAAATACTGCGAACATAAGCTTGCAAACGTGGGACATCGCCAAGAGACCCTGTAGGACTTGCAGCAGCGAAATCGAAGCTGCGAATGCCATGAAGACCTCCTTTGCGGGCGACGCCGAGAGCCCGCCTGAAGTGAGGTGTTCATCAAAGGTGTCGGTGGGGGCCCGGGCCTGGGCCCCTCCAGCGGCCTGCGGCAGAGCAGAGCAGCTGTTGGAAGCTGCGTATAGCGTGAAACCTCGCAGCTTCCGCCTCGATCCAGATTGCAGCGACCTGTCCGTGTTGCGACAAAACGTAGTTGGGATAGACGGACTTCAAGGCATCGGCTCGTCAGAGTGGGGCGAAGGTGCGACTCAACCTCTATACTGCGCGGGTCGTCCACCCGACACGATCAAAGCGAAATCGGATTGTTCGTAGACCACAGCAAAGTGCAAATGCTCGGTCTCTCGTGAATTATGCATGTTCTTCATTGTTCTTCCCATCACGGTCCTTCTTGCTGTAGGGCCGCACGGGCCAAACGATTAAAATGGCTTCAGAGCTGACCCTGTATAGAAGCCAAGTATCTATTTCGGTTAGGCACAGCTGTTGGAAGGCCTTGTAACCTGAAATAACCTGAAGACTGTTGCAGAGGAGAGAAGTGGATGCATGTAAGCCGCCTTACCAAACACAGAGGCTTGAAGACCCGAACACAGAAATTTGAAGACTGCCTTCCCGGACCAGGCTTTGGGTGAAAGGACGACTTCACTTTGGCCGCCATCACACCCTGGCACTGACTTGCCGCCGGCCGCTTGGGAAGGATTAAATTCGGGGCGGGTCTGTCAAAGAGCGACCTATCAGCTTCAATGGTTGCGCGGAGCTGCATGCGAAACTGGTGCATGGAACTTCTTTGCTCAATCTTCGGCTGGAGATTGTGTGCTTCGACCCTTGTTCGAGCTATTTTGGAATAAACCACGACTAAACGTCCGGATGCATGTGATCAAGCAGGACTAGAACTCGGTTGCAACGCAACAGTAGGGACAAGCACGACCGACAGCTCCCTGCCATCAACCTTTTTATTGGGAAAAACCTTCCCTTTGGCTTCCGGTCACTCCCTCCCTCTGAAGCACAGATGGAGAGAGAATGAGAGTGTGAGAGAGAGAGGGGAGAGGGAAAGGCAGCGGCAAGATTCCAATCAGTGTCAAGTCCTCTCGCTTGTCGTGATCTCCCTGGCTTCTAACTACTGTTCTTCATGCTCGAGGAAAGCTGAAGCTGGACCTGAACATTGCTTAGACTTCAAGCGTCCGCAGCTACGCAGTCTCTCGAACTCTAAGCTCCCGCGTTTCAAACCTCCGCAACGCGCGGCAACATCGAAAAGACTTTTGGTTACACCATTGCTGTAGCTTGTCTGCCAGATCTTCAAGACGAACCTTGAGACTTTGACGGGGATCCTTGATTCTGCAGTGCATCTTGTTCAGCCTGAGCATCCGCCTTCCTAGAGTATGACTTCTTGCAGGCGTGCAGGTAGCACTTCGAGGCATTCAAGGATCACAGCTGCCAACATGTCTTGGCTGCAAGATTGCCTGACTTGTCGGTGGTGAGACGAGGGCCGCAAGGCCGAGTTGCTTGCGGAAAACTCGTGCATGAAGCTTCTGTCTTGGTTACTGCGCAGATCAAAAACACATGCACACTCACGGCGAACCCTCACGAGTGATACTTTCCAACGCTCCCTTCACGGCTCTGGTCTGAGCCTTCCCTGTGGACTGAGACGTATGACCCCGTAATACAGAAAGGCTGATGAAGCCACCATCCTACTCTCAAGTGGAACAGTCTCTGAATAACCTTAAATTGCATGTGCCTCGTCAGGTGCCATTGCTAGCTCTACTTGTTGTAACACTCGCCCATGCATGCCCCACCCAGCAAACTACGGGATGAAACGACGGGCCGTGCTTGCCTCGCAAGCCTGCTTTGGACAACCGCCTGCCGCTGCCTCACTGCTGTTCCCGCATTCCTCTAAGCCAACCGAGAGCAGACATGGCTATTGGAGGCAAGCAAACGACCCCGGGCCGCCAAAGACACGTGTTTCAAAGGTATGTCTCGGGGATAAGGCGGTTGCAATGCTTCCTCGATGCTTGAATCGCTAGCCGCAAGGCGGCTCTCCACCTTCGTCCTTGAGACGTACCTGTTCTCCTCTTCTGCAAAACGGCAGGAGGCAGCAAACCTCCGAGGCTCGCTGACCTGCTTACCGCTCCCTGCGCTGCCCGTACTAAACCTAAGCCACCTACGAATCCTCAACGCCCAGCCTGACTGCCCGGCGAAAACATGATGTAGAAGGCTTTAGTCCAGGTGGGGGGCTCCCAAAAAGTGAAGGCAAAACGAAGCTGAGGCAATTCAGACCTTTGGAGCCTCAGGTTATATGTGAGACACACTGCTACGACTACGAACGTGCAGGCGAATCATTGCGACCTGCGTCTCCCTGCTGCTTGCAAGCATTGAGAGCCCATCACTTCCTAACATACCATTTTCCAACGTAGGGACGAAATACTGTATGCACCGATCCAAACCCCAAAGAACCTTGCAGCCTCTCTCGAGGGCTTTACTAAGCTAGCACACTAAAGCCACGAGGAAGAAGTGCAGATCTGGGCCCTGCTCATCTACTCCCGACGTGGCCATGTGCGGATATGCATCCAACCTGCAAAAGGGGAATGAACTGACACAAGGGCACCCAAAAAAATTGCGCGGCTGCTCTTCCGTGTTGGTGGTCTGGGCAGGGCGTGAGGGCATAGAGAGCAGCACTGTATGCACATTCCCTTCCCGCCTCTGCCAGCTTCATTTTCTTTCCGGCAGGCTCAGGACCTCTCAGGGGGAGCCATTTCATGCAATCATGCAGCCCTACCTTGTCTCGATCATACTCAAAGGACCGAAGCTCAAGTAACACTGAGACCGGGGCATTTTTCTGAATTATCTGCATAGCTTCCGCAAACCTCATGGCCCGTGCATCTTTGACAGGCTTAAGCACGCAATGTGGGGCAACGGCAACAACTAAGGCGGGACAGCGTCCAACTCTTGCAACGCTTCCTTAACATGGGCCTGTAGCACAAAGGGCTACATGCTATCTGCATCGCTCGTAATCACCATCCTCAAAGCTGGTCTATGCGGAGAGGCATTGGATTATTTCGGAGCGACAACAGTGACTATGTGACATCGTTCAGGCAAGATGACAGCTGGCCCACGGCCACCCTGCTGCAACATGACTTTCGAGTTGACTATCTAATCATGGGTCTTCCCGGTCTTCCTCCTCCAAAGACTTGCTTTCGGTCCCTCTTGGCCTGAAAACATATGGATGTTTCTTCGGGGCCTTCTAACAACGGTACACCCTCAGCAGATGTTTCGAGTCTTGTACCTGGCAGCGTCAGGTCATGCTAGCAGTGACACTTCCCCTCAACGACATCTGCACTGCAACGCTGAACGTGCAGCATGACTGACTGAAGGTCAAGAACTGAAGATGCTCAACGAGTGTTCCCAGGCTAACCCGTGCATCCAAGCTCAGGAGCCTTCCTGCCGAAACCCGAAGCCACCTGGGCAGCCCGAATGCCTGCTTGCAAGCCTTGCCAGAACTGAATCTTGTCTAAGTGCCCCGAACCACATCACATCACACACACACACACAAACCCGAGGGAGGGACTCCTCCGGCATATCCCTCTCACCCTGGGCGGGGTCTGCACATGAGAATCCAACGGGGCTTGCCTAGGTTTCTGCAATCATGCGCATCGCGTTTGTACTCCTGACCGGGGCTACTGTAGTCCTTTGTTTGGTGCAAGATTCCGGCGAACCTTTAGCACCACACGAGCCACACTTTTTGATGGAGACAGCACGGAATCCCAGACATGCGGGCAGGTTCTTCGATGCTAACGGTAAACATGCCAAAGTAGTGTGTCTCGGACTTTACCTCTACTGCGTCAGCCTGGGCAAGCTGCAGATAAACAAACAGCTGTGTACGCTCCACCCGTCGCTTTACAGTTGACATGAACACTCTACAGGAGCAGCGACCTATGAACTTCGCCATTAAATTAAAACTCAACTTCTAGAATTCCAGCCGCTGCAAACCGGCAGCTCCTAACAGGACCTAGTTGACCGCCAGAGGGACAGCCTACGGTGGTACCCTAGTGGGCCGATCAGAGTAGAATTCGAATGGCTTAGCAGCAAGCATGCAATGGCAACTTGAAGGCAAGCTTCTCCAGATCATGAACAACATTCGGGGCCTTTGCAGAATTCTGTCGGTCTGAGCCGCACACGATCTTCAAAGCAACCCAGTCCTCAGTAGCTTCTTGGGAAAGGTGTCGGCCTCTGTTGTGTCTGCTTAGAGCCTCGTGCCTCATAATCCGGGTTCAGAGTCAGGAACGGCCGGCCAGGTGAGAGAAGCAACCCATTAACCGTCATTAACCCTTCCGACACCGCCCCCTCATCCCCAAACTGCACCGAAGCTCAGAAGTCAACACGACAGTGACAGTTCTTGTCGCAGAAGAGACGCGGTCTGCACCCCCAGGCTGGCTGCGTGGGAGTTCGCGCGGACTCGCTTCACAGTCACTGGGACCTCGGCTCCACAGCATTGTGGTGGAAACGCCCCGGACATCATGCCACAGTATCCAGAGCGAAGAAGCCTCAGCCCTCGAAAGACGGGTGCCCAACAGCCTTGGTGAAGTCGATGCCCCACGGCCGCATGGTGAAATTTATCTCCTTTTGCTATCAGCCCTCTGTGCAGTTGAGAAGGTGCAGTGTACATCGCCACAGGCATGCAATGGTCACAACGGGTTACCTAGAGGGCTGTCCTTGTTGGAGCCATCGGGCTTCTGAAATACTATGGTCACCACAGTTCCTTGGCTGCAGCACGGTCCACCAAGGAAGGAATTAAAGGGTTCACGACAGCTCACCATCTGGGCATGGTAGGCCATAACACAGAAACCTCCAAGTTCTGGGAGACACAGAGGAACTGGTCGACAACTGATGCCAAAGGAAAAACGATGTCCCAGCAAAGAGCGAGTCGCGCTTGGAATCGAGGGTCTCGTCCGGGTCCACCTCCGGTGCTCTCAATCGTGCAGACCATGCGCTCGTGCAGCGAAGTCGCACCAAGCACCGCCACTTGGTGGATCCGGTTCAAAAGCCCACTTGTATGTGTTCAATGAGCATTTCCACACTCTGGCCGTGTTTGCATGCCACTTGCTTCACTGGCTCTGCAGAGTGCCCTCGAAGCACTGTTTCAGCAACCTCAAGGAAAGATCCATCCACGCTTTAGGACCGGCGAAGCTGCATTATCTACACTGGCTGGAAAGCTTGACCGGTAGTTCTGAAGTTTCTAGCACGCCCGACAACTGAATCTTCCCTGCCAGTGCTTCGCAACAAATTTCTGAAGCACCCCACGCCTCATACCCCCTGGCGACCACTGCTGTGACGTTTTCCTCGGCGCCCTGGCATATGACAGTACGAAGACGGGATAAGATGGGCTTTTGCAATCTGCCAAAGGTGTTGTTACTTAGTGTGGGAACGCCGTTCCGGAGACATGCATGGGGAAAGAAAAATCCTCGCTGAGGCGGCTTCCGGAAGCTTATAGAGCCTACACCCTTCCAATATGGAAGCCGCCACCGGGAGCCGTTTGCCGCTCGTGACTTCTGGCTCGAAACTCACATCACGTCGGCAATTTGCTCCTACTTCAAAGTTGCTGGAGGCTGGAGGTGTCGGATTCAAGGCCGAACGCAATGTAAGAATGCAAGGTTCATAGGAGCTCTGGAGACGGGACGTCTAAAACTGGAAATAACTTACGCTGTTCACACATTTTGGGTATCTATGTGCCCCGGGAGGAGCCTGCAGACTCTTCTCTGCAAGGCCTGGGACCTCTGAGATCCTGGCATCGTTACATTGGCAGCACATCTTATTTCCCATGTTGGGTCGCTCCTTCCTGGCCTGAGAGAGCAATCTGCTGCAAGACTTCAAAAGCCGCGTCGATCGCGTGGTGTCTCTGAGTGCGGGACCCGTCTTCACTTTGGCCAATGGGCCCAGGATCAACACGTTGGTTGCTTGAGCCCAGAGCTACAGAGCTGTGGCTGCAGATCTCAACGTTGGGTGCCCAAATTGCAACAACGGCCGAAGCCCCAACCTTGCATGCAAACGTTCACAACCCGGGAGCAGATAGCCTCGTCCCGGGAGCCCCGCCGTCGGCGGTCGGACTCTCGTCGCAGCTCTGGCCGCCTCAGAATCTGAGTGGCCCCAGCTTATGAATCCTTCGCAAACCAGCCTTTGTTCGTTGGGCTTCCGCGAGCGTGAGCTCTGATACTCTGAACTCCGGGGATGCATCACGACACCGAATCTTAAATGTATCCTGTCTGCGTTACGTGGGTCATGTGGACACATGCATGCGTCATCCTGATCCTGACCTGGCATCAGACCAGCCGTCTGCTTCTTCCCTGCGTCAGAAAGGCCCGTGCGCCATGGGCCCAGGAATCCCGGCCTCGGCCTCAAAAGTGGGACCATGGTGCGGAGTAACACAGCAAGAAGGGGGGCCAGGGGGAGTCCGGGGAGGTGTATCATGAATGATTGCATAGCAATGGCCAAGCGCTACCTCGGCATCCTCCGCCATGCGGTAGCGGTAGTTGACTGGAGTGTACATCCTCCGAGCCAGGTGTAAATACTTGTAGGTTTCAGGGCTTCGGGACTAGGGCGGTGACTCGCTGATACGACATGGTTCAAGCGCCGATACTTGTATGCCACTCTGATTGGATGAGAAGCAGACATCTACTTTGAATCTCGACCCTCCACGATGCAATTGGATCCCGCCTTTCGACCGGCTTGGGCGGATTTGCAACCGCCTGACAGTGACATCAGTCAACCAAACAATTCCGACTTCAGCAAGGTGAAAGACATAAGAACCAAGACGATTGCACGAGCAAACCGCTCTCACGTCGCTAAAGCGCGCCTCCATGCTGATACCAGATGGCTTGTCGCCGATGCCGATGCCAAAGTTCCGAAACATCCCCTGCAATCTCTCGAACTAATAAGAGGGGTGCAATCACCGTGGTTACATAGGTCCGGTACAGGACAGCGGGCATACGCGTGTACCCTCTGAGAGATTCTGTCGCGCAGTTCAGAGGCTGGTGCTTTGCTGGCAGACCTCTCATGGGGCGCGCTCCTTACACGGACTCGGCCTGTGCACGAATCGTTCAAGCAAAGTCAGATTTGTCGAGCCATGTTCGGCAGAGCCGCCAGTGATAAATGTGTCCCCTGAACTGATCGCCCGAAGCCTGCAGGCCTCCGACGGGAACCCAGCTTCCCTCTGTCGCGCTTGTGGCGCTTGGTGAACGGAAGGGTTGAAGGCGCTTGTGTCAGAAAGATCCTGTGATTTGTTGGGCCTTTGAGCCACACCCGAACCTTACCCTACAGTAGCCCTGCAGCAGTTCTATTGGCCAGGGGTTTTGAGTTGCGCAACATGGTAGGCTTTGGTGTTGTGATGTGATAGCTATAGGGTCATGAGTGTGAAACTTTGAATTCTACTCCGAGCCCGTAGATGCGGGATGCGGGCAGCCTGCAGACGTGGGCCTGAAGAATCACCGTTCTGACTGCCAGACTCCACAGACAAAGGAAGGCCACGGCACTTTTTCTCAACGCACCACCCCGGCCCCTTTGTCTGAGGCCGAAGGGATTCCGAGCGGCCCATGGCACCGCGCTCGGATAAGTTCGCCACGAAGCCAGAGCCTGGCAAAGCCAATCTGCGACGGCCCACTTTGGAGGGGTCTCTGGCCGTAGACGGCAGAAGTCTCGTGAAATCGTCTTAGGGAAGGGCGACATGCTAGAAACACAGCGGACAAACCGCCTGGCCGGTGTCCACCTTCCGACACTCCACGGCGCCATAGCTCTTCAGCCTTTTCTCAGAGGCTGTCCGCCCTGGCGACGGCAGGATCTTCGGAGGTCAAGCAGGGCTCAGCATACAGTAAGAGTTGGAGTCGCGAGCTTTTGGACCGAGCCTGATGGAACCTGGTTTGGAAACGGTATGTTTGTAGAGCTGGGAACCCTAACGGAAAACTTCCGAGGGCAACATCTCATGCCTGAGCAGGAAGCTCTCCTTTTGCTTTGTTTTGTCACATCTATGCCTGGGCTGAGTCCCTGCGGTCACCGCAAGTGGCATTTGGACATCCTGGCCAAGCGGGACTGCATGTCGTGGTTGCAGGGCTCCGGTGTGAACTCGAAGTAGTAGTTGTCAAAGTGGTGGGGTACCGTGGCGAAGTCGAAATGGTTGTGGACTCCAAACTGATTGGCTTGCCCTGCTCTTGCAGGGCACCACATGGCATTGTGGGAGTGCGGGCAGATGTCCACAACCACGAACTTGTATTCTTTGTGAAAGATCTGGGCTGATGCTGGTGTCCAAATCTGGAATCCTCGAGGCAGCTGCCTGACAAATCTCCCTTTGCCACATGATCCGCATCCCAGGCTAGCGGTGCGTCCTCCTCCGCCATTCCTTGGCTGGGCATAGGATCAGGGAATCTGCAAAACATGGGGGCGCATGGGACCCCCACAGCTCGCAGCCCTCTGGCAGCCCAGGATCCGATTGCACCTGCAACATCCGTCTTGCATGGCCTGCGCTGAGGCCACTGCAAGATAGTCGGTTCCACGAACCTTGATGCCGGCTCAGGTTCGGGCACAAATCACCAGACCAAGGTGATTGTGCTTTGCTTTCTGATGCTTTCTGATGCGTTTTTAATGCAGTTGCTGCGGGCGGTCAACCCGACCGTAAAGCAGAAAACGGAAGCTGGACTTGCAGTCCAGCAGCGAGGGCTGCAGAATCCAGCCCGCAAGCTGTGTGAGGGTTGGTCCCATACCGCGTTGAGGTTGCCATAAACTGGTGGTGGCGCCTGGGCTGCCAACTTTGTTTTGTGCAGTCGAGATGTTATGGGTTTCCGTCAAACATGAACTAAAACGGAAGGCAGGAGGTTGTAATGACAAATGCGCACAGGCGCGGATGCGGGGCCGGTGCATAGTCAGTTCGATTGTGTTCCAAAAGGCCGGTAAGGTTGTTTCCGAAGACTCTGGAACGAAGGTTCACAGCCTCCACATTGGCAAGCGTGGTAATGCTAAGCAGCAGCTGAATGTGACGGACCATCATGGAAAAAACCGCGGGGTTTGCCGGTTCGATAGCGAGAGATTTGCTGCGGGATCAAAGCAAGCATGCATGCCGGCGAAGTTGAATCCAACCGGAACATTCGGTGAATCTCCACCCCTCATGATCAACGGCTTCGAACCTGGAATCCATGTGTGCGCGCGCGGGTGTGTGTGTGCGTGTGTGTGTGTGTGTGTGGATTTCTTGGTACGCTGCTGTTCATCTCGAAAAAACGGCTGATGCACCTATAACTTATAACTATAGGGTCGTTAACCGAGTCCGGAGTCTGTAGTACAGGGCGGCATGCCTTAGTTGGGGCTGGTAATTGAACAACTCCCACTTAAGGCTCAGTAAGGATCTGGGCGTAAACCACTTCCATTAATGCTCAGTAAGGACAGTCTGGCTTCGACTTCGGCTATGATCTACTCCAGTTCGCAAGTATAAGGCATATGACTCACACTCTCTACTCATACGCCCATGTGATGTGTGTGTGCAAACTGCGTGAAGCAGGACAGATCGCAGCATCACAACAAGCTCGCACGGGCGCCGTGTGGTAGCGGCTTGACTGCTTGTCCTCGGCAGTTGGGCACGCAATCTGCGATTTTTGAAAGCGCCCCCGCGCCCCGGGACCCTCTTTAAGGAACTCGCGGCACCGCACAGCTCAGCAGCATCTGCTAGCATCTGCTGGCTAGCGAGCTCCTGAGCTCCTCTCTCTGGGAGTCTCAGAGCCGAGCCCAGGCCCACATCACCAACGTCTTCCGGACGCCCGACCTTAGGAAACAGGCCATATAGTAAGAGGCCGCGCCCCCACTCAGGACTCATATTATGACCTGACCTGGGCACCGTACTTGACGACGGTGACACGATGCATCAGCCTGGTGCCCACGCGTCTTGCAAGCATTGAATGAGCTTCGGGTCAAGATGTCGGCAGTGTAAGAAAGCGGGACAAATTCCCTCCCCATTGTACATCCAATCATTTGGTGCGGAAGTGTTGCTCCATGTGATTGCAGGGAAAGGGTGTGCGAGCGCGCGCCTGAACGCACTGCTCTGTGAAGCAGTATAACTACTGCCTTGCTTGGTGTGTGAGATTGTTCTTTGAAGCATCAAGTTCTGGAGCTACCTTTCTGCAAGACTGTTCCCCCATGCTCTGCGCAGTATGAGGACAGCGTGAGAGTCAGGCTGCATTTCAGCAAGCTTGGCTTCAAGACGGATCCCGAGCATGCTTCTGTCGCTGAGGGAACAACACGGGTCGCGGGATTAGTGAACTGCGACATTCTAGCCGCTTACCTCTTTTCACTCTGGGACCTCTTGGCAGGGAAGATCAAGGCGTCCCCGGCATCCATCGAGATGCACTGAGTGACCTGCAAACGAACTCGTCGCTGTTGGACTATTCTGGAGCAGATGCCTCAACCCTCTGGCGCTCCCACACCAGCAAAATCAAATACATCTTGGCCTAAGAACCATGAAACATGGACATCAGAGGGGAGTTACCTGAGCTTCACTCGTGTTGCACTGAAGCAAATTCATGGTCAGTCATGCTCAAAGTGTGCCAGGCCGGCATCGGCCTTGCGCTTCGCCGCATTGGGGACCTTGGCTTGGAAGCTGCCGCCCGTGTAGTTGCCTGGGCGGCGCGCGATTCGGGGTTTTGGGAAACTTCGACCGTGACTGAATCTTGCAGGGCTCGGTGGCAAGTACACAACCGGACAACAGGAGGTGACAGCCTCTCAGGCTTTGGGTTGTTGTTGCTGTTTGCCCAGGCGTGACCGTGAACGCAACCTGCGCGTGGTGCTGAAAGCCAGAGCAACTTTGCCAACTTCCCGCTTCAGCGCTTGCCGCCGACTGCGCTGGCCGACTTTAGTATTCAGCGCACGAAGCAAGAATTTCACAAGTCTAGAGCTTCAAGGACGGTTCGCAGCTCATAGCATTTACCTCAAAGTTCGAGACTCTGGATCGGATGCCGGTTCACGGACCAGCGGAAATTGAAGGCTAGGTACAGAGGCGACGTGCACCAACTGCAACGTACCCGCATCCGACGCCAAGCAGCTCAAACACCGATGCGCTAGATGATTGGGTTGCAGAGTGATTGGGTCATGGCACACCGCTCTTTGGCTTTGCTTTGCTTTGCTTTGCTTGGGGCAACAGCGTCCCCTCGACCTGCGCGCAAGGCGCTTCCCCCTCCACCATTCCGGCTGGATGGACTCGGCTATAGAGGAAAGGGAAAGCGAGCTACATGTCCCCGTTTCGGGGTCTGTGTGCTTGTACACAGCTCTTTTCTTTCGCCAGGGTTATGATGCAGGGGGAAACCCCCTACATTGCACACAGCTCTCTCTCTCTCTCTCTTTCTTTCTTTCTTTCTTTCTTTCTTTCTGGGCGTAGGGGTCGGAGTCCCCGACCCTCAGGCCATTGGCTCGCCCACCAAAATGTATATCTCTCTCTCGCTCTCCCTCTCCCTCGCGTTACCGAAGCAAACCTAGTGGGCCTCCGCCCGATACCCACAGAAGGACCAATTCTTGGGAGCCAACTCGAATCTGAGAGCATCAGCACCACCTTGCAGCAATTGAAGACAGAAGCGAATGCTGGTCAAGCAGAACTGTGCGAAAGCTCCACACGTGTTTCTACTTCTTTCGGTGCTGAGGCTGGGACGGTGATTTGCCGCGCGTCCTGTCACGTAATTTGCTTTAATCCTCAGCCTGCATGACTTGGGCCTTTAAATCTTGCACCCTATACCAAATGCCAACGGATGAAGTGGAAGGCTGAGCTATTTACACCAAAAGCGTTTGTGCTCCGACGCGGCGATCTACTTCCAGCGAAGCGCGCGTTCTTATCACGAGTGGGCATTTATTTCTGCTACCGTGTGTATACATTGGCTTGCACTTGTGCTCTCCCCACCCAGCACGAGCTGTTCGCCTTGGCCCACTTGCGTACGGGTGCAATAGCGCCGCACGCTGACGACGCGAAGCGGGGATCTGAATGCCCTCCGTCACATGAAGCCCAAAGTACTTGTCGCGAACTATGCAAGAATCAGCGGCCCATCAGCAGCCAAGCCAGAAAGCAAATCTGTAGGGAAGCACTCCCAGTTCTTGATGGCACCTCTCGCTAGGCTCTCAGCCCTCACGTCAGCAAGATTGTACAAGCTGACCCAGCATCGAATCGGGGCTGGCGGTTTGTTCAGACGTTGTTGACTTGCCCATGGGGCGCAAACTTGCATCAAAGATGATGCCGGTGTGGTCATGCCCACCAGAAGCCACAGCGAACTACATACTATAATTTCTCGTGCAACATGATAGGCTTTCGTGGCAACACGCATCTCCCATGAGATCTCCATGGTTAGGCTTTCCATTGACTGAAACTTCCCAGTTCGTGCAGTCGACGAAAGTCAACCCTGGAGCTCTCAGACAAACCAGCAGGCACTCTCCTCAGGGTCGTTGCCCTTTTCGAACGCATCCTGACAGAAGAAAGCGTGTCAAGACTACATCAGTCAGGTTTCGCTTCCCAGAACGCGGCAAGAAGCCGAGTGAGGCGGCGGCGGGCAGTTTGTCAGGGCACAGAGGATCCTGAAAAAACGCGCCGAGACCGAGTTGCCTGATGCCAGGCTTGGAAGTGCTGGCTCTCCCGGTAGACGGTGTATTGGGCATCCTGACGACAGCACAACCACCGGCATCCATAAGATGCCCTGGAGCAAGTCAATGAAACGATGTGAAAAGCAGGACTGCAAACAGCTTAAACACTCGGTGCGACTACATCGCATTGTACTTGTGCCTCCGCATGAACCTTCAGGTGCAAGCAAGCTGCGCGCCATTCACACTCCATGTCAACATCGCTTCAAATCCTTCGAGTCTACACCGAAACCTCTCGGCAGGTCGCACCGAAGCAAAGGCCCCCTCATGTGCCCATGTCACGATTTGCGTGCCTCGTATGTACAGATGGGTTCCCCAGCACCGTCGACCTGCAAGGAACGCGGCAATAGCTTAGCACTCCGAAGCCAGCCGACAGTCAGAACAGCTTCTGGAGCAGCTGTTGTACACAGGCGAAGATCCGGCTTGAGTGTTGCAATGCTATACAGGTATAGAATTGGAAGTGTACGACTTGCATTCGAGCGTTGCTGCTCCTGCCATGACGCAAAGTTCACTGTGACAGCGCAGGCTGCAGTATGAGACAGGCAGATGCATAGCCCTACAGGTAGCCACACTAGTAAGCCCATACAGGTAGCTATGAAGCTCCTGCGTGCGCAATCCTGGGCGCGTAATGCAAAGGTTGCATACGCACACGCCTGGATGAATACCGACAAACATGGCCTGAAAGAGTGACCACTCCTTGTTGGCGACATCACGGACCTCAGTGATAGTGATATAGGCAATGAAGCCACAAAGCATTTAACTACTAACTACTCTACACTACTCTGTCCTTCCGACATGTCCCACGTTCGAACGCTTTGTCAAGCGGTTGATGGGGCTGCTAGCTCAATGGGCGACCGGCCAGATCTTTGAGCTTCTGATACATGAGCGGGCACTCCTGAAAAGAAGACAGTGTTGCAACGAGCGCCTTTGGATCGTAAAAAGGAGTGGCTGGCATCAACTTAATTCCGTGATAGGGTCTTGACTGCACGGTTCCAATAACTCCGGGAAGGAACCGTTTCGCACACGGAACAACGGAGACATCGCCCTCACACGCGACCAACCCTCTCTGGGTCCTTCTCTGGCTTTAGCCAGGAGATGTTGCTGTCCCGATCGTCGTATCTAGCCTGCGATGTGCGAGGCATTCAACATTCCTGGCACCGATGTCCTCAACTCTCAGGCTGCCAGCGATGTGATTGCAGCTGTAGGAAGCTCGTTAGAACAACGGGCAACATCCGGCAACACACTCGCTCCTTCGTGCAGCAAAGCTTTGGCAGTCAAGCAAACAACACTAAAGTGGCAGGTCATGGCTGATAATGACAGGGAGGGAGTGGCCCAAGGTCTGCATCATGGACAATCATGGGGATTACTGCAGCCGAGTCTAGAACACCAGATGCTTCTCCCAGCCGCACCGGCCACGCACACGACGCGCCTTTCGCTCGTCGTCTGACTCCCCTGCGCCCTCGTTCCTCGTGTTTCAGAAAGAGTTTTCTGGGATGACGATTGTTCAGCATGATTGTCCTTGACATGGCAAACAAGGATGCTCGCCGGTGCTTCACAGGATCGCCTTTCAAACCTCTTGCAACTGACGAGCACTGCTGACTCTTTCTGCTTCGAAGCGGCGTTTAATGCCAACTTTGGCCAACAAAAGACTCTTTCAAGGGCAAAGCTTGTTCATCAAAATCGTCCAACTCATCCACAACTTAACCTGAGGCCCGAATTGAGAAATTACTTAGTTGATACTCTCAAAGTGCACTTGGCCGAGGCTCTTCATCTTGGCGGCTTTGGGCCGCTTCCTGGCTGTGGAGCAATTGTCAGCATGGCCAGGCTGTCAGAGGTAGCATTGAACCGCGAATGACTGTGCATTCCTCTCTATGAGACCGCTTCGGTGCCGCTGGCGTGCGGCAAGTCCGCGCAGGATGTGCAGGCCGCCTTCGCAGCACGCGGTCCAGCGCAGAGAGTTCCGCGGCGCTGAGCGCAGACCTGCGAAAATGCAGGATTCGGCAGTCGCTAGGAATGAGCCCGGACTGGAACGAGTTTCGAGTCACTCGATACACACCCGAAATCACGCAAGTGGAGCCCTTCGTTGCTGAGCGGGAATGCCAATAAAAAGCAGACACCAGGACTCTGACAGAAACGTCAAGCCCTCTCGGCCAGAAGCCTGCAGCTTGCGCTTTCCTAAATGCCCTGTAAGGCTGTAAGGGCCAAGCTTGACGACCACGTAGCTACTGTGCCGCTCCTGGGGCCGAGGCCACGGAGCCACCCATCGGAGACTTTACTTTTGTCCGCAACGGTGGACAAACCTCAACACGGAGAGCCTGCTAGCCATCTGCTAGCCTGCTGCAGACTCCGAGGTCCAAAAGCCCTGAAGGCTGGACATCTGAACTGGATCTCACATTCTCGAAAGCGCCACGAAGCCCACAAGCCACAACGAGAAGGTCACCTTTCTCAAGATAACACCATGTTTGAGCCCGCAGGTCCTTCAGGCTGAAGGACAGCCTTTGCACGCCGGAGGAAGTTCAAGGTTGTTTCGCTGCATGTTCATGGGGGCCAGATACGCCTGCGCGTGTGCTGCCATCCATGTGCCCGATGCAGATATTTTTGGTCGAAACCTGCTCTGCCTTGTGAAACGGTTCTACAGTGATGTTCACGCCTGCTTCTGTCTGGTCCTGCTGCAGTCTTGGGCTCCTGTTGGCTCGCTGTGACTACGGGCTAGCAATTACAGCCAGTACTGCTAGATCTGAAGATGTCTGATGTCTGGCGATGAAAAAGAATAGGCTTGATGCCTTTTGCCTGGATCGTGGCTACGATCTGATTGCAAGGGGGACAACGCCTTCAAATCTTTCGTCGAAACCTGCGGGCAAAAGTGCCAACAAAGCTCTTCTTCAAAATATCTCCACCCTCCATGAACTGCACATTGCAACTGCTTCGGCCTCCTATACGCAGCCGGCGCCATCGACTTCTGTCGCAGCCGGCGCCTGCGGCCACCCCCGAACTCCGATTTCTTCAGTCTGTCCATGAATATATGTTTGTTTTAACATACATACACATGAAAACATCTGTACCAAAAAAACATGTGTGTAGACACACATGTGACCTTTTAAAAAAGAAAGGTTTATTGTTTTGTGACATATCATATTGTATTTAGCTACATTGTGGTTTTGTCCTTATTTTCACTTTCTACTGTATTGTGGCATGTTAAGATAGATCATTTTATGCTATACCATATGTTATACTATACTCTATTCTGTTATGATAATATGTTAAAACCTGTCATACCATATCCTATAATACCATACCATATCATATCATATCGTATCATATCATACATGATATTATATTGTGTTAGATTATGTTGTAGTATGTTATATTTGCACTCTGTTATACGATTATACCATCGAGTTTTGTTAAATTATGTTGCGCGACATTAGACGGCGATATCGCAGAACTATAGAATAGCACATGCTTGCAACACATCGTCTTATATAAAAAAGGGCTGTTAGCAAAATGTGACAGGGCGTAGCACGATGGAACAATAGAGTTTGCTATTGATCTATACTACCTTATGTAATATTATCCTAGGCTGTAGTCTTATGTTACATTATGCGCTATTGTACCATATTGTGAAATGTTGTGTTCAATGATGTTACTTAATCGTAAGTAATGCTATGTTTTACTATATCGCATTATGGTTTGTTTTGTCATCTTGTTTTGTGTCAGATTGCTGTATTTTTTTATTCTGTATAGCAGCATGTTGTGATATGAAAACTTCTCTTTTTCTACATCATTGTATGTTGCTTTAAACTGTGATATATTCTCGCATATTCTACTATATAGCGTAGTTTGATGCAGCAGCTAAACAACATTGCACAACATCGTATTATATTGTATGGTCTTATATTTTTGTTGTATTACATTATACTAGCTCGTACTACCTTATGTGACTATAGCGTATGCTGTTACATTGTGTATATGCCAAGTATAGTACGACATAACATGTTAGTAAAATGCAGCCATGTACGGTTTGCACTGACAGTGGGCCCTAACAGAATGGAGGCTGGGCTTGAGCTATTTGCCTTTAGGCTGGCACTTGGTTTGATGAAAGCGGCCACTTCACTGGAACAGCAAACACGCGACGGTATCACTTGCGATCTGAATTGACAGACCCGGCTTCCAATTGTCCGAAGGCTTTCTGTTTGAGATCATCCCGTCATCTCTGCCAACAGCCAGCCACAGGGACACAACTTCTCAACCCCATAGATTGAAAGCCGAGGTTGGAAACCGCAAACTGGCGGGACAGCGGAGCCACTGTGCACCCAACTTTGTATGTGTTCGATGTTGGCTAGGGATCATGCTTCGTGCACTTCTTTGTCGACTGCGTGAAGTCGTTTTCTTTCCTATCATTGATTTGAATGCCGAAGTAGCTCAAATGCCGGCGGGAACGCCACGAACTCTTAGTGACGAGAAGTGAAGAAGTTCGAAACGGACGTGTAAGGATTTTACGCCATCGAGCTTGGAGTGTATTTCGACGCCGGCCGGCTTCCACCTATTGCAAACGAGCCCAACCCTCGCAAAGTACATGCGACGAGGCGGTTGCCGCGCCTCACTGGCACATCTGCTGTAGATGTCATGGCTGCCGGCAGCATTCGATTCTGCTTGAGGTTGTGTTCTGAACGCCGGTTGGTTTCAAATTTCTAGTAGGGCTTGAGCCCCGAGTGTTAGGCATAGCTGTCAAAAGAATGCTGGCATGGCTCAGACCTCACCGAAATTAGGACTACGAGCACATGCAGGTTGGTCCCCAGTCATAATTAAACCATTATGATACTGACTAAACTAAGCACAACAGCCGGACATGTCGAACATGCTGAGGTTGAGCTCGTCGGAGTTGCTGCAAGTGTCGGGCTCGAGCCCTTGACCGACCTCGTACTTTAATAAGCTTGCGAGAAGCTCCACATGGTAAGATCTCTCTACTCTATACTGTCAGTTTCGAGGGATCTTGCTCTTGCTCCTTTGCTGGCTTGTGCTCCTGCTCCTGCTGCTCTCTTGCTCTTGCTCCTGCTCTTGCAGTTGCTCCTGCTCTTGAGGGGTTCAGTTTGGGGTGTAGACTTTACGGCTTCCGGGGTCTACCGAAAGGCTCTTCGACAGGCCTGGACAGTTGGGCTACTGTGAGCATTGTCATCTTGACCCTTTTAGCTAGTCCGTATAAACCCTAAACTAAAACCCTTAAAGACCTGAGCCCTGGAATCCCTGCCCAGATTCTAAACCCATCTACACCCTGAACCCTGTATCTCGCCAAGCTGCTAAACTGTCCTACAAGTGCTTGGCTCTTACCCCGAAGGCCACAAACTGTTTTAAAAGTATCAGGGACCTGAAGGGTTCTGTCAAACCGAGGGGTCCTGGTCATATCCCAGACTAGACCATAGACCCTGGCCCTAAAATCACGAACAAGGGTACATGACTCGAACATTTTCAGAAGCACAGGCTTGCGGCTTGCGTTTCCTTGCGCAGCTTTGCGAGATCTGGTGCAATATAAGCGTCTTTATAATTTAGTAAACTCCGGTTTTTGGTGTAAGTACAGGGGATCTCATTTAAGAATTCTCCATGAAGCCCCCGTGAGCTATCGACAAGCCGGACATCAGCTCAAGACTACTGGAATACAGGTCTGCGTGTCTTACTTTATGCAGACTTCAGGTGTGAGCAGTGCTGATTTTCAAGAGAAGTATGTCCGTTTGCATAAGCCAAGATGTGCCAGCGGTTGAGAATGTGATTACTGAAATTGAAGGTGCATGGATAGTTCTAGCCAGGGCTGCAAGTCAGGCAACTACAACTATTGCTACGTTTGAACCCTGGCAGCGTTTCTGGAAGCCTACCTCTAAATACCCATGAACCTTCAAGTCGGATAACGTGCACTTTTGCTCTTGACCCCCTGATGCAAACACGGCTTTAAAAGGCGGGGATGATTCATTCGGGATGATGTCAGGAGGGTTTTCCGAAGAGTGCTCTTAGGTCGGGAGGTATGTTTAATAAGTGCGGGAAGGGCTTACTTCGTATGGCGTCTGCTGACGGCAGAGGATGTGCTGCGATGCCAAGGTGGATTTCTGCGTCCCGGCCCTTCTCTTTCCAAGCTTCGCTCACTCCATTCCTGATCTTCCAGCGCTTACCGACCCGTAATGCTTTGACATCAATGTCTTTCTGAGGGATTTACAACCGTTACTCTTCGGATGCACAGCGAGTCTATGATTCGCGGAAGTGTCATCAAATTATCGCTACGCTTGCCAGCAAACATCGAACGACGTGACAACAAAGCGGAAACGCCCCCCCCACATCGCCTCCTACCTGGACCCAGAACCCAGAACATCGTCACGATCCTGTCGAATACCTGGTCACTCATTTGGTTCCTGCGCTGGCTATTGGTTCTGCCGCAGGAACTCCTCGGCGTCCGCCAAAGACAGCAACACCTATTCGAAGGAGAAGCTGGATGTGCATCCGACAAATCGTGCTGCGTTGCGATTGAACAGATGGCACATGTAAATCACAGTCTGAACTGTGCAGAGATCTGTTCAGAACGCCGATCCCCAAAGAACGATTGCTGTGCGGCTTTGTGACTGCATTGCTGATCACGATCTAAACAGCGAGTCAATACCTCTATTTACTCTATTTGGGTGGCTGCCACGGTCTGATGAAAGGCCCCATGGCCTGTGGTATTTGTTGTGTGTTCGTTGCTGTGTTTCCCGCTCCAGGTGGGGGTTCCTTGGTGTGTGAGCTTTTGGACACAGACGAAGGCCTCCGTTGCAGCGTCGCGGCCGGCTGAAAGATCTTCGAGAAAGAGCTCCAGAGGATACTCGGCCTGTTTGCAGGAAGTGTGGATAACACAGAAGCAAGCCCCTTCGGTGCACCACTACCCCCGACTCTGGCACAGCACAGCATCTGGCGGAAACTGTCATTCAGTTTCGGTTTTAGCTCCATTCTCTGAAACGCTCACGGTTGTGGGCCTGCTCCGCTGCTGAAGGGAACAGCAGGGCATGCGCGTCCGCAGGCCCGCGCCGAGTCTCGACAGGGGGCAGGTCGCAGAGGCAACACATTGCAGATCTTTGTAGCGATCCGCCAGTTGAGGCCAGAAAAGCGCAAAGTCCAACAGCACGGCTTACAACCGAGCTGGGCTCAAGAGGCTCGTTTACATGTTGGAGGAGCTACCAAGAGCTGCATGGAAGGTCGTCTGCGCTGCAGTCTGTAACATGCCGTGGCTCAAGCACGGAAGCCAGCTTGACCCTGCGCCTCACGACCAATCAAGAGCGTAACTCGGACTCGTTCTAGATGCGAGAAGCTGCGAAGCCAAGCGCTATAAAGCTGTGGGGACTATACTGGACCCTCGCCTTTTTCAAAACTAGCAAGACATCAAACCAGTCTGTCACAATTCCCGATGACATTCAATCTAGCATCAACTTCCGCGATACTATGACGAAGGAAACCAAATCGCACCACCGCAAGCCCTTGCCCAACAAAACCCTTCCAACTGCACGAGAGTGCAGCTACGATTGCTACATAACGGCAAGCTCGAGCTGCCTCCGGATCGCCCCAGCGTTTGTGCAGCGCTGCACGCCACCGGGGGGTGAGAAGCGGCGCCTCAAAGCCCGGAAACCGGCGTCGATTTGAAGTTCTTGCCTTGTCATTGCAGTTTCAGTACTACTGCTGTGTCCAGGATGGGTGGTTGGGGTTCAAGGCCCTTCTCGGGTGTTCGGCATCAGGATTTGGCGCCATGACTTCCCTGTTAGTCGAGCTATGCTTCTGCTCCAAAGTGCTACTCGTATGGATTGAGTAAGTCCGCTTGCTTCTATGCCGCTTCAGAGTGCATATGGTGTATCTGTAGAAGAATGTCCTGTTGCCTAGATCTTAAAGCTGGCATCGAATTTTGCAGGTGCGCCTCAGCTGTGAAGTGCTTGTCCAGCACTTGCGTCACCGCATCCTCTACAGGACAACAGAACAAAACTCGGACACAGGAAATTTAATTTTTGGACCCCAGCTATCAACCTGCCCTTGAGTCCTTGAGCATTGTCGACTTGAAGCTTCAAAGGCGTCCACAGCCTCAAACCTCGGAACCTTTCGTGAAGGTTGGACTGCTGATTTAAGGCGCCTCTGCACCGGACATTACACCACCAGCAGGGGGAGCGCGCAACGCCAGACAGCTGGTTGCACGGTCACCTCAAGGGGTCAAGGTGGCTTGTTGACGGCCTTCAATACTCCAACAACCAACACAACCAACCTCGCATACCGACAATGAAGGGGTTGCATCGAGTGTTGTAGAGTGGGCGTGGGACTCCAGGATAGGTGTGATTTCACTTCGGAGGGCATGTGCTCAGGTGTCCTTGATGCGCAGTACTCGCCCGAAGATTCTTAATCGCAAGGCCGCAAAGTCAGCATCCCGAAAGCAATGCAGGTGTCGTTCAATTTCTTGCCACGGCCTCGGTTCTCGACGGACCAAGTCTTCAACCTCGATGGGTTTGCTCGGCCGCTTTGTGGTGCTGCATACTTGCAGCTTGTAGTCTTGTCGACCCTGCTTCTTGCATTCTCTGCACACGAAGTGTCCCTCGTCTGTGAGGTGATGGGTTTTGAGCGGCATCGCCAAACTCCCCTGCAGCCAACAGATCACAAGGACGTCAAAGAGACAAAGGACCGCAAATCAAAGAAGCACCTAGGGCCCCAGCTCTTCAAAGCCCAGGCCGGGTGCCGTCTCGCGTAGTGCGGCGAACAAGGCCTCCCACGCGTCGCAGATTCATTCTGAAGCTCTCTCCTTACAGTTCGAGATCCTCGACGCAAGAGCCTCCAACGCTTTCGAAAGTTGAGGCCACTCCTACAGGTTGTCGTGCTCGCGACTGGCGTGTGGTTCTTCGGTGGAAGGGTGTGTATGCGGCCCATCTGTGGAATTTAGTTTGATGAATGGACTTTGCGTTGGTACAGTACAAGCGACTGCCAGCAGATGCCAGCAGCTAATACTCCCACAACCCACCTTCAGTCTGCACTTAGTCTATGACTTGGAAGATGCTGCAGAGTTCGACAACGAACCGAAACGCAACCAACCCGGCGCTCCCTGAGGCCTTCAACAAGTAACCTCGCGCACTATTCAGAACTCCCCGTGCAGCTTTTTTTCACGGTGGCGCAACTTTGACCGACCCGGACGGCTGCAAGTGGTCTGCAGCAAGCCAGAAAAATGCATTGCAGCTGACTCCAGTCCTCGAAGCTTCGGGATCCATTTTTGCCCCCCCTAGACATGCATTCCTGGGGCACAAAACTTCGGCGGTCCAGGACAGGTGCTTGGTCCAAGCTCAAGGGGGGTGGCGTTTCCTGTGCGCCCAGGCGGAGGGCCCCGGCCGAGTGGAGGCTCAGAGTGCCGAGGCCGCTTTCTGGGCGAGGAATCTTGGACCTTCTAACTGGGGACCCTGTTGGGGTTTCCGAGAATAGGGGACCCTAATACAGTACCCTAAATGGTAGGATCCTTATTATAAGGATCCCCAAAATAAGGTACCCCTAATTTTCGGAAACTCCCATGTGGCTTAGGAACAAGCTGCCGTGACGAACTATCGCGCACCACTGCGACAAAGGCCTTCAGTGGCAGCAAGGGCACATGAGAGACCTACGCACCCATGGTCAGCCACGTAGGCATATTCGTACCAGTACTGTCTGAGGATGTATGGATGTATACCCTTTTGTCGAGACATAAAAACGGTTGCAAGAGTGCTTCGTGTATGCGTGCATACAGGTCTATGTAAATTGTACACACACAAACTATATATATGTATGTATATATACACCTACTTATTTGTTTGGCTTACGAGTTTTTTGATTGCATGAGTATTTATGAAGCAAATGAACAAACAAACACATAAATACGTTCATCTCATGTGTAGAGCGCATGTATACATCTGTACGTATGTAAGCATGCATGGATGTATGCTTATGCTTATGCTTATGCTTATGCTTATGCTTATGCTTATGCTTATGCTTATGCTTATGCTTATGCTTATGCTTATGCTTATGCTTATGCTTATGCCTATGCTTATGCTTTTGCAAATGCGCATGTACATGTAAAAGCAAATCTATATGTATGTGCGTTTCCTCGTTTTTTTTTATGTATGTGTGCACATATATATATATATATATAGTTATGACCTATATGTATGTGGGGTGTATGCATGCGTGCATGTATGTATGTGCTCCTGTATATGCTGCACGTGTGTATATGTAATATGCACACACCCACACACTCGTCGTGTGCGTGTATGAGAAAAGTTGCACTGCAGAAGATCCTTTAATTTCATGCACACGGGTTGCAACTGGCGCGGACTGGCGGTCAAGAGCCACGTCCAGGAAGCAAGCCGTCCTGCGCACATGAGAAAACTTCACCCTCATGACCCACATTGTATCACAGGAGTTGGGGGTTGCATGGTCCAGTTTCTAGATGCATGCTCAATCATGCTGAGTAGTATGATGTACAAGTCGTATGGTTGACTTTTCTTGCTCGGATCAGGACCCTTAATTCCACACCGAACCGGCTGGGATGATGAAAGCACTCCGACAGAGGACACCAAAGCTCTCAAACGGCTATGAAGCTACTAAGGTAGCGAAGTTCGTTCGAGCTCGAGTCTTCCTAATTGCACGTATGAAGAGCGAAACGAAAGCCTCTTGTTCCAGGTTTCGTTTGGGGCTCCACATGCCCTCCGGATCCGACATGACCCAATTGCTTCCTTTTTGCCGCTCTCGCTGAAGAGCTCTTGTGCAAGTGCAGTCGCAGGACTTGGTGGCTTCCGAACTCCAAAGGTCTCTTCTTAGATGTGTTTCGGAGGTGTGTCTCGGAGAGTTCGAGGTGAGATGGAGCCCGAAAACCCCCTTCCTCCGATCCCAAGCCGGTGAGACGACCGGATTCCTGCGAAGCCCTTCTGGTTTCACAGGAGCCACAATCAAGCCCACTCAAGCCAAGGCGCAGGTCGTGGCCTCAGTGCCGCAGCCAACACACCAGGGATGCCGTCCCTTTACGAACCTATCCGGTCACCGTGCACTGCCGTGCACGCTGCCCCTACCAAAGTTGTGTCTGTCGGAGAAAGGAGCCGTGGTCTTAGCTTCTTGGAAGGCCTTCCAATTGCAAATACACACCTGCGCTGTCTTTTTCGCTCACCACAGCTGCTTCGTGTCGCAGCCGAGCTCTTCGGCCAAAGACCGCACGGCCAACAAGGCCTTCTCCACATCTTGATGGCTGATCCTTGCAGTAGCAGCGTCTACCCAGGTCTGTGCTTTGGATGTGTCAAAGTGAATGCTCGGGATTCAAGGGGAAACTGTTCAATGCCGAGTGTGAATGAACTGGGCACGAGCTGGGGCCAGCTCTGGGGCTCCACTCTCTCAATCCATCCGCCGGCACTTGGTCTCCATGTTTAGACTTATTATGTGGGTTGCCGTCACCCTGGGCTTCGTGAGGCAAACTGCTTAACACCCTATGCCCTCACACTTGCACGAGTCACGTCTGTCCGGAAACATCCATCCGCTCGTTACGACGGAACCCTAGAGGCCCTAGAATCATCCAAGCAGCGGCTCCAGTTGCAAGACCTGCGGCAAAGGCTTTGTCGGCTGACTGGTCAGCAAGCAAAACAAACCTATGTCAGAGCAGTACAGAGGGTTTTCTCATAGTTACAAGGGTGCTGGGAAGTGCTGGGTCATTCTCACAAAATTTTAGCAGCTGAATCTTTAAAAGAAACGGGCCGGATCCGCCTGCGGGCTTCCGCTGATCACAGGGCTTATCCATCCTCTTCCTGGCAAACCCACTATTGACAGATTCACCTGCGCGGCATCTTCGACGTAGGCTGGCTGGCGTACGCCGTTCAGAGTGCAGGCGACACCAGGTGCTGACAGCGCCAGGCGAAGCGCAATCCTCGGCATGTCTCAGTCTCATCTGTGCATCGTCTGCAAGGCAAAGCACTGCATGGGAGCTTGGTTTACTATTTCTGCCGTCCTGCAGAACCGAGCAGCACGCTGGAGCGTTGCATGAACTCGTCATGAAGGCAAGTACTATGTTCTACTTTTACTATGGACTTTCCAGACTTTCCACCAAGCAGCTGTTGCAATGGCGCCTCCGGCAGATTTGCAGATTCACGCAGGACACGCCTGGATCGGCTAGCTTCTTGCTGAACTAGTGAGACGAAGCCCTCCTACAGGCGCGGTGGAACAACATGCAGGTTACCCCTCGGACTGTCGAGACTCGCGCTTAATCTGCTTGGCATCGAGACTGGCCGGAGCAAACTACAGCAAGTGCAAAAACTCCTCTGTAGAAAACTACCCATCACAACCGCGGTGAGGGCGTCGAATCCGCGAAGTCTCCAGTTTCTGCAACTTGATCGATCCCGAGGTGCCCGTTGATGTTGGGGAGGCCTTGAATACCTGCCTACGAGGTTCTGCCAGGGCAGTGACTGAGCAACAACAGCAAATTAACCTCGGTTTGTTTCTGAAGACTTGCCCAGTTGCTTCAGGAGCGATGCCATTGTGCCCATCGGCTTCGCCTGAAGCCGTGAAACTGCTTGCAGTCGATCGGCCACCGTCCTACATGTCCTACTAAACCACAAAGCGCTAAGCAGCAAAACCACCCAGCTGTCCGTGCCTCTCGCAGCTGGAGATGCGAGGCGCCCCCGCGGCCCCAGTCGCCAGTAGAAACTCCGGGCCTCGATGCTGATTTGGAGTCTAATGGCTGACACAAAGCACCGTGAGCATCCTGGGATTTGGGCCTGCTGTGCGTGTGTTGTTCAGTGTCTCAGAGTTTGGCAGCGAGATCCCGAGGCTGTGTGCCTGCATGCGGGTCTGATGGCTGAAGATGCCAAAGCTTACCCAGCATTTACCATGTCGTAGCACGCTTATACCAGTGAAGGAGAATGCCAGGCAGAGAGGAGTTGCAGGCGCCGAATCCAATTGCCAAGACAAGCGCAAATTTCGGGAAACCTCTCCACTTTCCCACCTCCCTCCAACAAATTACGGCATCGCGTGAAGCCAAGATGATTTTAGCGTGCACATCAGGGTTTACCAGCATCCCTTGGAATCCAGAATGAAGCAGAAACAAACTCTCGTCCATCCAAGAATCATCGGCAACGCATTCAACGGTCGGTTCCTTGGATGGCGCCGGTACCAATACAGTAGGTGGGTAATCTTGTAACTTATAGGTAAATGACATCGCTTACAGATGCACGGACGGCGTTGCAGCAACACAGATCCAGGATGCAAGCCATGCGCCTAGAAGCAGTCGGCAACCGGACATGCCCGACCCATCATGCACCAGCCCGGCAAAAAGCTCTGATGGCTTACAACATGGAGGAATTCCTTAGCCAATTGTGCTTAGGCTACTATGGCTTCGGAAACTTCTGTGCCAAAGCTCGTCACGAGAGAAATCCCGAGCCGCGTGGCCAAATCGCAATCTCGCTCTGCCTGGCTTCAGGAGGCAAGCTGTCAGGAGTCTCACAGGGCAAAAACATGTGGATCGGCACGTGCAGGCGAGCTGAAGCAGCAGAGCCTAAGCCGGGCGATGTCTAAATGGAAGCACCCGCTGACCAACCCAAGATCTCCACGTGTGATTTCCTGCCGGCCTCTACAGCTTTGCCTCGACCAAGCACGGCGCCGCCCTCGAAAGCGTTCCTGGGTGCGATCTTGTGTGCATGCGGGGTCTCGAGTTCAGCCGGTTACGCCGTGCAAGTTGGCCGAGAGCCAGGCGACGAACACCTCGTGCGC